GATCGATGACCACTTGCTTCCGGTAGGAGTCCTCGATGGTGGGGTCGTACTCGTCCACAAAGTGGTTCTGGATCAGCTGGATGGTCAGGGTACTCTTCCCCACGCCGCCAGCGCCCACCACCATGAGCTTATACTCTGTCAGGGCGCCTCCAGGGACTCAGTGCGAGGCACTGTGGTGGTGTCCTTTCCCACCACTTACTGGAGCGACAGACCCTCCAGGTGAGGTCAGAGCCAGGCGACAAAGGAGCAGCAGGCTAAGGCCCCCGGAGGAGTTTAGCGAGACAGTGAAAGAACAGAGGAGATGAGTAGAATGAGCAAGAGGTTTTTTGTTTTGTTTTTCTTAGGTCTCTCGAATGGGGCTTACCTCCTGGCTGGCTCGCCAAAATATGTTGCCGGAGCCACAGGCCCTTCTCAGCACGGTGTCCAGGTCCTTGGCGCCTTGAGCAAAGAATTGAAGGAGATACTGAGGCAAAGTAGTGAAAAAGCAGTTTATTACAAGAAATAGTACACTTCAAAGAAATAGAAGCGGGCTGGAGCAGTAGAGAATGGCTCAAGGGCCCTGACTAATGAGGCCTTGGTGGTTTTTATCCCTTTTTCCTTAGAATGGGCTGTTCCTCTCTGGGCATGGGACCACTTGATTGGCACCTGTGATTGACAAGTGGTTATTACCTCATTTGTGCAGGTGCAGTAGGTATTTTGTATCCATTTGTTTCCCCGAAGAGGTGTGAAAAGTGGGTGGGTAGGGGAAGTCTCCTTGGTGGTCGCATTCTGTGGGTTGTGTTGGACATGCAGGAATGCAGAGACCCAATGCCTGCCTCTTAACTGCCTGTCTTGTTTCCCTTTGAGAGACTTGATCCCTATAAAATTTCTATAGGAAGCTGAGGGACAGGAGATCTCTTCTGTATCTGCTTCCTGCTGGGCAGGGGCGTAGAGGTGTCCCTGCCTATTGGGAGATTCATGAACTCTCACCCTAGCTGATCTTAGAAGAAGGGGTCTTGAGATCCGCCTGGAAGACCATGTTGGCTTCTCTGGTTGTGACTGGCAATCTTGCTGGGCTATCATCTGTATCCCCAAGGCCCCTGAATGAGGAAAAATAGATTTTCTATGATTCAGGTACTGTTTAGAAGAGTAATCAAAGCCAGGAGCTAAGAAACTAGGGAGGAGACTTAACATTTCTTATAGGAGAGAAAACTTAAAAGTTTTCAGTCTGGGGTGGGGGTGGGGGACAGCTACTTGCCCATAACTGGAGGAGCTGGGCTCGTTGAACTCTAGTCCTAACTTCCTTTTCATAAAGCTCTTATGGGGGGGGAGGGTGCATGTGCTGGGTTGCAGCCTTTTTTGTGAATAAATCTTGGTGACAGAGTACCTCCTTGATGTTATTGCTCAGTCAGCATGCGACCCTTTCCTTCGACAAGTCCCCCCTAGGTTATAGTCTTTCAGTGTATTCAGAGTACCATCAGGGTTTTCATGGCCACCACACCTCCAAATTGGGCATTGTCAGCCCCCTCCCCAAGCTCGGGCCACCACTAGTGCGCATGTGTAGTCTCAGCACTCTGCTTTCTAGCAAACCTGGCAACTCTACTAGGCTTCAAGGGTTCTAAGAGCTCTCCATACTTCTTAGCTATGTATCTTTTTGCAGCTCTAAATCAGGACACATTTTATTTTTATTTATTTATTTTCCCCGCTCCCCACCCCCTCCGAGCCGTTCGCTGTTCTCAGTCTAGTTGTGGAGGATGCCACTTCACTGGCCCATGTTGGTGGTATGATCATTGCACTCTTTCTGGCTGAGGCAGTTGGTTGCCGCCCACTCATGGCAGCCCAGCTCCAGATCGAACCATTGTTCACAATCTTAGCTGTAGAGGGTACAGCTTACTGGCAAAGCTCACTGGCCCATGTGGGAATCGAACCGGCAGTCCTGTTGTTCAGAGCTCATGGTCTTACCAACTGAGCCAACTGGCCGCCCCTAAAGCAGGACACGTTTTAAAAGACCCCTGTCTTGGGTAGGGTGTTACGGAGGCCCAGAGAGAACAAGATTCTCATCTGCTGTTGAACCTTCACCAGTGAATTGGGTAGGGGTCTGACCTGGGTTTACACCCTGGTTGTGCTACTGATGGGCTAAATGATCCTGGACAAGTGACAACTCTTTAAGCCTCAGTTTCTTCCTCTTGTAAACTAGGCATTATAATAATACCTGCTATTCCTTTTCTCCACCCCCCAACCAAGGTTGGGAAGACCCAGTGAAATCTCCGATGTAAATCACCTGGCTCAAGTGATCAACATGCACTGCTACAACGAACTTTACATATTGCAAAAGAGATCAGGCTTTGCATTGGGATGTTCTAATGACCATTTCATTGGCTACTTTCCTCTTAAGTCTCAGCTCAGTAATATCACCTCCTAGTCCCCCAGGCTGGGCAGGGCACTGCCTCCCAGTCCTCCAAAATCCCTGCCCACCTGGGCCATCACTCGGGGTTGGTGTGGTGTGTCTTGCCCTGGGCAGACAAGCCCCAGGCTGTTACGGTCACTGCCCCAGGGGGTGACTGCTGAGTGATGAGCATCATGGCAGACGGAAGGAATGAAACTCGAGTGCGGAAGGTGAAACGAAACCTCTTGAGGACCAACACAAGGGTGAGAAAGAATCTTAGGAAACTTGCCCAGCGCCCTTCTCTTACAGACGATAATGGTACTAACAATTCTGAAATTGGAGGCCCATTCTTTAGGGATGAATGAACAGATGGATGAAGCCCCCCAGATGGGCAGATCAAGATTTTCTGGGCTTTTTTTTTTTAGATTTTATTGGGTAATTGGGGGAGGGGAACAGTATTGGGGAATCGAGGAAGGGGAACAGACAAGTTGCTGCTGTCCTTTTGTTCTTCAGTCTAGTTGTGGAGGACGCCGCTTCACTGGCTCATGTTGGTATTATGATCATTGCGCTCTTCCCGGGTGAGGCAGTTGCTCGCCAGCCATTGGACGGCCGCTCACGGCGACTGCCGGCCGCTCACTAAGTTCATGGCAGCCCACTGCAGCAGGGCCTGCAGCCTACACCTCACGGGAGCCCAGCTCCAGGTTGAGCTGTTGTTCACCCACCATCTTAGTTGAGGACACAGCGTCACTGGCCCTCCTGGGATCCAAACCTGGGCCCTGTTGCTCAGAGCTGGCGTCCCAAGCCAACTCTTAACCAATGCGCCCCTCGGTTGGCCCTGGGCTTCTTTTAAAGTACAAAATTACACATATGAATTTAAACAGAGGACCACAGAAAGCCCAGGCAAGGGAGGGGCCTTGAAGTTTAATTTTCTCCAGCTTCACGGTAACCCCATCTCTGCTCTGCTCTAGATACAAAATGCCCCAACCTGTTTTCCCTCATATACAGCTGAGTCCTGATCTGTTGGAGCATGAGAGGTTCTAGTCCCCTTAGATGAGACCCCTGCAAAGCCCTTCCCCATGTCTGTCAAGTGACCAAATTGTTTCATTCCATCTAACGGGTAAATAAATCATAGGCCAGACCCACTCTACCACTAGGGGACGCCCAACACCAACCAGAGGCTGTGAGTTCAGGTTTTAAGGGAGGAAAGCTGGGGACCCGAACCTCTCGGTCCTAAGAAGAGGTTGTGGGACTGGACTCCTGAGTTCTGGGGGAGGAAGAGTCTGGGGTCCTGAGGGGAGGAGGACTGGGGTGGGGGCCTGAGAAAGGAAGGAGGAGTCTGGGCAGGGCACCAGGATTGGTTGGAAGCAGAACTGTCCTGGGCAGAGGTTTGGTTTGGCTTGAGTCCGTGGGAAACAAGTGGACAGAGCAAGGATTGTTCCTCCTGGGTCCCCCTCCCCCTCACTCCCTAGGTTTGGCAGCCTCCACTCTTCAGCCCTGGGGACCTGGGGACTTTTCCCACAACCTCTCCCCAAGGCCCCTGTTTTCCACTAGACTCACAGCTGCTTAGTTAGCCTCAGGACCTGGAAACAGCCCCAACAGTGCCGAAAGGCTGGCCGGAGAGGTTAATGCCTAGTAGATTAGGAGGAATGCAGGCCCTGGGTCCTCAGAGGCCAACAGCCCCACCCCTAGGATTTGGGGGCCCAGGAACACACTATTCCCACGGGGTCCAAGAGTCCAGGCCCCCAGCCTCTCTACCATGAGCTTCAGCACTGTCCTCTCATGCCACAGAGCCTTATTTGTTCTTATTTGTACACCCTGTGCTTTTTGCCTGAGGCCCCTCTTTCAAAGGCTAGGATCTAAGGGCCAAGTGAGTGCCCCCCCTACCACCACCGCCACTCCATAGCCACAAGAGCCCCAGCTACACTGCTGTGATGCATAGCCCAGCCAGGTCCTCTTGAGGGGCCCTCCCTGCTCTGGAACGCACTGCTTATCTAAGGGGGCTGCACGCAGGCCTTGATTTCACTTCCTCTCTTTTTCTTCATTGCATACGTTGCTGTCTGAACGTATCTTTTACATTGGTCAGCTTGCTCAGCCTCTGCTGCCCCACTGCTACACCCCCGGTCTGTGGCGTTAGGATGGAACAGAGCACCTGGCCTTGAGTAGGAGCTCAAGAAATGTTATGACTGTTGCTCGTAAGAAGAGAACAACTAACAACATACCACAAAGCTGTAATCACTAAAACTGTATGGAGCTGGGCCAGCACCCAAAAACAGCTTTTTGAAGGGCCACATCAAGATATCACTGCCTCTGTCTTTTCCCAGCTGTATCCCCAGGGCCTGGTAGGGTTTCGATGAATGCATGTGAGAGGGATATATAGGGATTGTCACGGAGCACAGCTTTTGCAGGTCTATCCCCGTGGGTCCCAGCCAACCTGGGCACTAATTTCCTACACTCGGCAGTGACTTGTGGGCGCCAGTCTCCCCTCTGTCACAGGACCATCGGACAGCTCCATACAATGGCACATTCAAAGTGTCAGTCCAGGGTCTGGACACTGCTAGAAGCAACTGCAGGTTAGCTGCATCCATAGTTTTGTCATTTTACCGATGAGAAAAGGACCTTAGTGAAGGACAGTCTGTAATTTTGTAATGATTGTATATTGTTATTCACCTCTTTTATTTCCACTAACCAGGTAGGTTACAGCTACATATATACAATAGGCACTCAATAAATGTTGGCTGGACTGAATGAGTCCCTCCATCTTGGCCCCTAAGATCTCAGAAAAGCAACCACATCAAAGAGAATAAACTTGGTTTTTTGTTTTTTTTTTTTTACACGGGTAAGAAATCAAGTTAATGTTGGGAACAGGATGCTGAGAGCTGCTAGGAAGTGGGGGGGTTAGGTCAGGGAGCCAAGGAGTTGCTGGGGTCTGGACTTTCCCCTCCCCCTGCACACTCCCTTTCCCGGTGATTAGGGGCCCAGCTGTTACTCTTCTCCATTCAGTAGATGAAGAACCTGGTCAGTAAAAATTCCTGCGTAAGTGCTCACAGCCGCCGAGCTTTTGTCATACATGTCCCTGGGGAGAAAGGACAGAGGGTATAAAGGGTGAGAGACTGGGCGCCTGGGCTCCTGGGTCTGAGGGGGAGGGGGTTGGGAGTCTGGACCCCTGGGTCTGAGGGGGAGGGGGTTGGGAGTCTGGACCCCTGGGTCTGAGGGAGGAGGGGCTGGGACCCAGACTCCCTAGTGCCCGGGCTGGGGGTGGGGTGATACCTGATTTTTTCGTCCATGGAGAGCAAATAGGTCTTCTCGTACAGGGTGTGGGCAGCTGCTTTGGCTGAATCCCAGTAACCAAAGAGTGACTCTTGCATCTGGGAGAGCAGCGAGGGGCTGGTGACCTCGTCTTGCGGGGCTACCGGGTTCCCTTGGACCTCTGCAGAGTGAGAGTGGGTTAGGGAGAGCTGATGGGCCTGCAGCAGGGGGAGAATGGGCAGGGAAGGAGAGGAGGGGGCAGGGCCAGAAAGGAACTGGGCTGGGAAGATGCCTAGGGCTCATGCCCCTCCTAGCAGACCTGTCTCCCCTGCTGAGCACACTCACCGAATCCCAATACCAGGAGGATGAGAAACAGAGCCAGGAGGTGTCGGGTGCCCATGGCGTCAGTAAACCTGGAACACAGGAGGGTGCGGGGGCAGGGCTACTGGAGGCATCTATTCCTGGGGTCCCCGCACTCATAGGGAGGGGGCTGGGCTCCCCCTCTGCCACACCCCTACCCAAGTCAAGCTCCTCATGGGTTGGTTTGAGCCTCCCTGTCTGACATTCTACGATTCTACTCCAGATTTTAACATCTTAATTCTAATATCCGTTCATTCACTCAGGAAGCATTTTTTGAGCACCTACTGCATGCCAAGCACAGTTCTGGGCCTAGGTTGTGAACACAGCGACAGCCCTGCCCTTAGAAAGCCCACATGAGTGAGAAACACAAACAACACATATTAAATGAGTAAGATGCAGAGTTTGTCACATGGAGATAAGCGCCCTGGGTGGGGAAGGGTGTTGTGTAGCCTGGAAAAGCCTCAGCAGAGGGTAACATTTATGCTAAGACCCAGTCAGTACAGGAACAGGACGGATGCCGCATATTCAGTGAAGGACCACCATCTGGCTGACCCTGTCTCTGCTGTGGGGGCCCTGCTCCACCCCCCCACCCCCCACCCCCGTTCGCTCATTCGGTCCGTCTGTCCATCCATGGCAGGTGTGAGAAGGTTGAGATCCGACCCACGAGGGAGACGGGCATGGGCAAACATTTACAATTCTAAATTCTGTGTTTCTCACACAGGAGCTAACATCTTGACTCTTGCGGTTTCTGATTTAACAACCTTTGCCCCCTCCCTGCTGACCACCCCTCCATTTTGGTCCCTCTCTTACCAGACTCTGGCCAGGCAGTCCTCACCAGTTCCCAAGGGCAGAGAAAGGCTTTATAGCTCCTAGGATCCACCTCCCCTCCACAACCGCCGCCCCCACCTGGCTGCCTAGGCCAAAGTCCAGGCCAACAGAACCGCTGAGAGGGTGGGGTGGGGGCACAAAGGGCAGTGATGTCCCCTGAGGTCAAGTCACAGAGAGCCCCCACTCTGGAAATTCACCCCTGAGAGAGACAGGTCCAGTAGGGGTTGAGGATTCTGGGCCCCCACCAAGAATGGGGTCTGGGGTCTCGATTGCAGAAGTGAAGGCAGAGCTCTGAATGAGGGGACCTGCGAATCACATCTGCTCTCCATCTTTCACCCTCCATCCCAAACTGAGGATCCTGAAGTCTCCCACCCCCCACAAGCCCACAGTGAGACTCAGGACTTGGGGGGGGGGTCATCACCCTGCTCCTTTCCCCAAAACCCCCCAACTGTCCCTCTTGCCAAGAGTCACTTCCTCTATTCATTAACTGCAGGGGATGCGTGGGGTGGGGACTACTCTGGCCTCACTGAGGAGAGATTAGGACAGGGACACAGAAGAATTTCTTTATTGTGGAGACTGTGAACACTTTAGTCCTGGTCACTGTGCCGGCAGAGAAGCTGGGGACACAGGTTGTGAGCCTTGTTCAGGAGGCTGTCCTTGGAGCTACGAAGCCAGGCCTTGGTGCGGGGACCCAAGTCCTTCAGGTGGTCATCATAGTAGGTCTGCACAAAGCCCTGGACGGTGCTGGGGACCCTGCAGGAGAAGGGATATCACAGCAGAGACCCCAACTACCCCCCAAGACTGCCCTGTTCACCCCTCCTCCCTCAGATTCAAGGGTCCAGACCCCCAGTCCCTTCTTCCCTCAGACCCAGAAGTCCGGGTCCCGCAGACCCTCCTGCGCACACTCACTGGAACCACTGCCACCCCTCTCTGGCTCTTGTCACCAGCGGTTCTGTCAACGTCTTCACTTTGTTCCGCACCAGGTTCCAGGAACTACTCACCAGCCCTGGCGGGGGGCTCGGGGCTCCAGCAGTCACTTCTTGCTGGCATGCTAGGTGAGACCAGGGGCAACTTGGGTGGGCTGGAATCCCAGAACCCTACCTCCTTCCTTTTCCTCCATGCTCACTGTCACTGTCATTCCTGGTGGCCCACGGTCAGCCCCTTACCAGTCTTCTTTTTTTTTTTTTTTTTTTTTTTTTTAAGATTTTTATTGGGGAATTGTGGGGATGGGAACAGTGCTGGGGAATTGGGGGAAGGGGAACAGACAAGTTGCTGTCGTTTTGTTCTTCAATCTATTTGTGGAGGATGTTGTTTCACTGGCCCAAGTTGGCACCATCATTGCGCTCTTCCCTGGTGAGGCAGATCAGTCGCCGGCTTCTGGACGGCCGCTCACTGCGGCTGTTGGCCGCTCACGCTGGCTGTTGGCCGCTCACGCTGGCTGTTGGCCGCTCACGCTGGCTGCTGGCTACACACGGTAGCCCATGGCAACCCACTGCCACAGGGACTGCAGCCCACGCCGTTGCCGGCGACTCACAGCAGCCCAGCTCCAGGTTGAGCTGTTGTTCAGCATCTTAGCTGTGGAGGACAGTGTCACTGGCCCTCATATGTGGGATCCGAACCGGGGCCCTCTGGCATCCCAAGCGAGTTCTTAACCATCGCGCCACTCGGCCAGCCCTTACCAGTCTTCTTATCACTGGCCTTCACCTTCTTGTAGGTCCCTCTGACCACTTGCTCCCCTTCACCCATTGGTCATCTCCGTTCACCCTCTGTGCCCGTGGCCCCTCCTGTCACCCCTCTGTCTGCCTGTGGTTTTTTTCCCCTTAGTCTGTCGTTTCACCTCCCTGACCCCCGCCCGTCTCCTTCCTGATGCCTCCTTCACTCGCTGCCCCCTCTGCTCTCCTGTGACTCCCACCCTCTCTTGAACTACCTCTGCAGGCAGTGGAGGGAGAGCACAGGAGGACCTTCTGCCCCCAGGAATGGAGGTTGGCTAAGCCGTGCTATCTGTACCTCCTGATGGACACTTCACTCTCTTGCACCCACCTCTGTCCAGCACCCACGCACCTGAGCAAAGCCTCACCTAGAGAGAGCAGCCATCACATGGGTACATACGTACACACACGTATAGAGCCATCCACATGACCTGTGGTGTGCCCTGAGCCAATGACTTAACCTCTTCAGGACTCAGTTTCCCTTTCTGTAGAATGGGATAATGATCAGACCTACCTCCTAGGGTGACTGTGGGAATTCAGAGTGAACATGTGTAAGGCACTTGGAATGGTGCCTTGCACATTGTAGGCACTATATAAGAGTTAAAACTTTAAGGACATGTGCACAACCCAGATATAGTCACACCGGTACACACAGGCACCCTCACATGTGTCCATACACTCAAACCTTTTGCACACACATTTACCACGGGTGCATATTCATGCTTACACACATACAAACACACATGCGTGAACACTGTCATTTGCTCCAACCTCACATACACACCTCACACACAGCTGCCACTGGCACATACTTCCAGACACGCACACACATCTGCATCTTACAAAGCACACAAGCTCTGGGCCAGCCGAGTGGCACGTTGGTTAGGAGTTGGCTTGGGTCGCCAGCTCTGAGCAGCAGGGTCCCGGTTCGGATCCCACATGAGGGCCAGTGACGCTGCGCCCTCTACAGCTAAGATGGTGAACAACGAGCTGGACTGCCGTGTCGCCAGTGACGGCGTAGGCTGCAGCGGGGCTGGCTGGCAGCTGGCAGGCGCTTTCACAAGCTGCCATGAGCCACCACCATAGCGGCCATCCAATGGCCGGCGAGCGACTGCCTCACCCGGGAAGAGCGCAATGATAATACCAACATGGGCCAGTGAAGCGATGTCCTCCACAACTAGACTGAAGAACAAAAGGACAGCAACTTGTCTGTTCCCTTTCCCCGATTCCCCAATAAAATCTTTTTAAAAAAAAACAAAAATACACAAGCTCCGTACCCACACAGCTGCAAACTACACTGCATGTCACACAGTCACAGTCACAGTCACACTCACACCCCACACTGCTACGGGGGCCCCCACACCTGCCCCCTCTCTGTCCCCCCTCCTCCTCACCCACAACACAGGCCAGGACCACAACGCAGAGGCAGAGGGAGGGCAGGGCCCAGGGCCTGCGTCCAGAGAACATTTCTGGGGGCTCTGTACCTCTGTGCTCAGCGCTGCAGGCTGGGGGGAGGGGGAGGCTGCACAGAGCAGAGCCCGCCCCTGGCCTCCTCCTCACGCCCCTTGGCAGGGACTTCAGAGAGAGGAGCCCAGGTGACAGTGACAATCAGAGGCTATGCCCGCCCCCACTGGCCTCTCTCCTTCCTACCCTCCCAGTACCCTGGCCTGACAGGTGACGGCAGAATGCTCTTTGCCCTCCTGCACTGAACCTGATTAAAATCCTGGCTCCATCTCACATGACAGCCCCTCCATCTGGCCTCAGTTTCCTGCTCTGTTAAATGGCCCTGCTTCCAGTAGGACATTAATTCAATGAAATGATACAAGGAAAGGTCTTAACACAGAGCCTGGCAATGAAGGTGCTCACAGCTTGTAGCTGTTTATGATGATTTCTTTCGTCTTTTGGCTACAGGGCCAGACACACTCTCACCGCATGGCCTGGGCAAATACATTCCCTTCTCTGGGCCTCAGTGTTTTCATCTGTAAAACGAGGATGGTAATAAGTGCCTGCCTCGCATAGTCCGTGTGAAAGCTAGGTGAGGCCCTGGAGGGAAAGCATCAGATGCTCATAGTAGGAGGCTGTCAGCACAAGATTCAGGCCCAACGCGAGACAGGAAGCAAATTAGGCTTTTTGTCCTGGAGAACCCGCCACAGGCCAGAACACAAGGCTCGGCCAGGGGACCATGGGCTGCCGTCCTTGGTCTAGGGTTGCCAAATAAAATACAGGCTGCCCAGTGACACTGGAATTTCAGATAAAGGATTTTATTTCTAGAATAAGTATGTCCCATGAAATATTTGGGAATTATACTAAAAGTTATTTGTTGTTTACTTGAAATTCAAGTCTCACCCAGGCATGCTGTACTTTTAGGTGGTACATCTGACAACCCTACCATGGTCACAATCTGAACAGGACAGTCCTGACCCAGAGGCCTACAGCAGAATGCTGTGCATTCTAGCAGCCCCAGCATGGGCCCTGGCACACAGTAGGTATTCAACAAATGTTCCCTGAAGTTCCTCACTAACAATAATTAGCAAAATAAAACTTCCTATGGGCGGCCAGTGGCTAGTTGGTTAGAGCACATGCTGTTAACAACAAGGTTGCCGGTTCAATTCCTGCATGGGATGGTGGGCTGTGCCCCCCACAACTAGCTTGAAAACGGCAACTGGACTTGGAGCTGATGGGTCCTGGGAAAACACACTGTTGCCCAATAAAATTTAAAAACAAAACAAAAACAAAAAAACAACCTCCTAGAGTTTCTGTTTGGGATGACGAAAAAGTTCCAGAAATGGATGGTGGTGATGGTTGCACAATGTTGTGAGTGTACTTAATGCCACTGAACTGTACACCTAAAAATGGTCAAAATGAAAACTTTTATATTATGTATCTTACCATAATAATAAGAAAAGAAAATAAAAAGAAAAAATTCACCATGCATTGTGTTATAAGAAGCAGCATGGTGTGTGGGTCAGAGGCTACCTCCGTATCTTTCCAGCTGTGTGATGTGGTGCAAGTTGCTTAACCTCTCTGGGCCTGTTTCTTCACCCAGTGAATGCGAATCCTGGACTACCTGCCCCGGTGAATAAAGGAGATTGCTTACGTAAAATGCTGTGAACAGTGCCAGATATGCCACAAAGGTCAGTGTCAGCTGCTGTTTATTAAACTTGTGTTTCCTGAGCACATGCTATACACCAGGTGCCTTAGCAGGGTTTTAGTGCATTAACTCATTGAATTAACTCATAACAGCTCTATCTTTATCATTTCTACTTTTCAAATGAGGAAAGTGAAGCTGCAAGAGCGGGGTAAGGCCACTTATACCCAGGGCTTCTCAACCAGCAAGCGGTGAATTTGAACCCGGCCATCTCACACTACCTAGCCAAGCCAGAACAACCTCTGCCCCACCTCCCAACCCAAATCCTAGAGGGCAAGAGGGAGGTTGGAGCAGGGCATCAGGGGAGGTCGCTGACCCCTGCCCTGGCTCCAAGGTCAGTGTGGGCTGTTCACTGTTTGCTTCTTGCAATGTTTGTCCATCTCGGGGACAGGAACAGGCTGAAGGTCGTCCAGGGTGGACCTCAGAGGCAGCTCAAAAACAACTTTGGGGGAAATGGGTGCAAAGAAGTCACGAGGAGGGAGTGGGGTTTGGGTGTGGCAGGCCCTGAGACCCCCGAGTGTGTGTCTGAGTTTGAGGCTGTCTTTAAAAGCAGAGTGTACGCTTACTCCATGAACTGCTCCTCCGTCTGCGTGGCCTCCAGCCCGAGAGTTTTCCATGGGCTTCTGAAAAAGCTTGAAAAATAAATTGACTCCAAAATGCTAGAAAAATGGCCAAGTAAAAATTAGTAATTGTTCGAGTAAATCGGTAGAGAATACACCCTTATGCCAACCAGCCAACCGTAATGCAACTTCTCATGCAATTAATGTCTACTGAGGGACTTGGGTGCATTTTAATCTGCTGAGTCTGATGTGAATGAGGCCTGGGACCGGGCATGTGTGTTGCAGCCAGCACGTTCCTCAGGGGGACTCGGGGAAAAGGAAAGTAGGGTGAATACGAACGTGGTCCTGGGATCCCCACCTGGGTTACAGTCCTGGCTCTACCCACTTTTGGCTGTGACATCACACAAGTGATTTTAGCCTTCTGTGCCTCAGTTTCTTCCTCTCTAAGACAGGGTCAGTGACATCTACCTCAGAGGGGCTTTGTGAAAACCTAGTGTTTAGGGATTTTTTGTTTTTGGATTTACACACTTGTTTCACCAAATATTGTTGAGCACCTGCACTATGCCCAGTCCTGTGTTAGGCTATGTCTGAGGACACAGTGGTGACAACAGCCCTGGCCCTTGTCCTCCTGGGGCTCACAGTCCAATGGGGTGGACAGACCAGTCACCAGACAGTGACGACTCAGAGTGGGCAGGGCTGGGATGGAGATCCTTGACCCAGCGTAGGGGTCAAGGAGGGCTTCCTGGAGGACGGGACATCAACACTGAGACTGGGAGGGTGGGGATTGTGTCAGTCTTTCAGGGCTCTAGCCCATGTCCTATCCTTGCCCTCTTCCATATCCCCTTTCATTATCCATTGAAAGTATAATACACACCTACTGTGTGCACTGTGCTGAGTCACCCCAGTTCCTTATCTTGGGCAGCCCACTAGGGAAGAGTACATACAGTATAGCAGAGTGATAGCCCCAGGCTGGGGGGTTCCCATCCAGCACTCCACTTCCTGGCTGTGTGACCTTCCTTGCACAAGTGACTTCACTTCTCTAAACTTCAGCGCCTTCTTGGGGTTACTAGAACCCAGCTTTCAAGGTTCTTGTGGGGATTCTTTTGAGATCATGTAGTCCAAAATCCTCAGCACAGAGCAAGGAGAGAATGTGCAATGCATTTAAATCCTTGCTTCTCCTCCCCCAAGGCGCAACTCCCACCCTGTCCCATAGCCCCTGCCGCACAGCAAAGAAGCAGTCAGAATTCTCTATATGATTTTTATTGGTGGTGTTGGGATGGGGACATGGGGCATCATGGAGGAAGTCCTGGCACAGGTGCGGAGGGCATGGGAAATTTCAGAGCCTCCTCCCGGATATAGCCTCAGAGCACAGGGGCAGCCCTCCTGGTGTTCAGAAGAAAGTCGTTTTGAATTTCTCCTTCACTTTGCTGTATGTCTCCGAAAACCAGACCCTATAGGGGGAGATGGAGGAGGGTTTACTGTTTTGCCTCCCCCAGGATGCCCAGATCCTGCTCCCTACTTGACTCCCTGATCTTATCCTTCCCCCAAGAAAATAACGGGTATCTCTCCATCTGTAGGCTAAGGAGGAGCCCTGGGCTGGGTGACCCAACTTCTGTGCTTCAGTTTCCCAGATGCGCCAGAGCTCCTTAAAGTCAGAACACTTTGTGCCCTGACCTGGCTTTCAAGGCCTGACATCTCTTGCTACCAACCCTTTCTCTAAGCCTGCTCATGCCCTAGCTGTCCCCTATTCATTCAAGGGCACTTTTCAGCCCCCCTGCCTTTGCCCAGTCTGTTCCCCTTGCAGCGACTGCCACCCTCTCCTTGATTATCTACAGATCTTCCTACCTCAGGGCCTTTGCACCGGTCACCCTCCACAGGGAACATCCTCCCCAAATTTCTCAGCCTGGCTGGATTTTCCTAATCATTGAGATCTCAATTTGAAGTGTTATCTTTTCAGAGAAGATCCGGTCACCAAGTCTACAGAAGCCTCTCCCCAGTCTTGGTAGTTTACACCCACCCTGTTTATCTTCTCAATGTTTACCTCTATCTGGGCTAATCTGGAAATTCACTGGTTTATTGTCTGTTTCCCCAGCCGGAATTTCCCTCCCCTCTTCACAGGAATGTCACCCCCTGTGGACTGGGACTTTTATCTTGTTCATCATGATTACTCCCCACTTTAGAACAGTTCCTGGCATTTAGTAGATGCTCAATTTATATTTGTTCATGAGTAAATGATTCTCTAACTCACTAAACAGAGCCAATGTTGGTTAAATACTGTGTTGAGCATTTACAACGTGCCAGGTGCTATGCAAGTGCTCTGGTTTTACTCCCCTCAGAACCACCCATTTCACAGATGAGGAAACTGAGGCTCATGACCACACAGGAAGTAGTGAGCCTTTGCCAACCTGTGGACCCAGGCCTGTCCGACCCCCCAAACTCAGGACTATCTCTACTGTGTGGCTGGATGGGGAAGTCAGGGAACCTGTCCCCCACGTCTGAGCACTCTGAGATTTAGCTGTGTGACCATAGAGACTTTGTCGGTTTTCCAGTCTGCTAATCAATACAGCCCTCACCCTCCCATGCCCTGGGAAGAGTCCTAACCGGGTCTTCCTGGGAATGTCGCTCTGTTTGATGTGGTCAATGGCTGTCCGGACCTTCTCCTCCAGGGCACTTCCGAACTTCTTTAGGTCCCGAGAGAAGTCTATGTCACTCAGGGCGTCAACTGGGTCTACTCAGCAGATGGGCAAGGGTGCAACAATTTCAGTTTGGGGAGCCCTTAGGATGAGCTTCCAGGGATGGAAAAGGAGACCCTTGAATATGATTCTTGGGGGCCATAGTGTTAGAATGGGGGGAGGGGATCACTGGAGCGACCCAAAGGATATCCAAACCGCTGAGCATTGCCTTACTCTCAGCACTGGACCCAACTCCCCACCCCTTTCTAGTAAAAGCAAGACAGCCAATCCCGAAGGGGTAAGAGTCCTTATGTCATCGGTAGCTAGGGCTCTCCTGGGCAGATTTGTCAACTGCTGGTACACCTTGAGAGAACCTTGAGAACCCAACTGGCCGGGTGGGAGTGGGGGTGATCAGTGGATGATAGGGGAACCAGGGCACAGGAGGGGCTCCAGCGCTCTCAGGGGTCCTCTAAGCCTGGACTCCAGGCCCATGGCCAGATTCAAGCTCCCAAATCTCAAATCTCAAGCTCCCAGATTTTCCTATTCCACTGTTACCTTCCAAAACCATCGCCAGAACCACCACCAGGACCGGAAGCGACAGCATGAGCCTCATGGTGAGGCCGTAGGGGTACTCTGGAGGCAGAGATGGGGGTAAGGGTGATCAGTGGCAACCTTCCTTCCTCCCACAAGGTCCGTCCACCCCGTTTCTTGTGCTCTTGTTGTGTGTGTGTGTGGTGGTGGGGCGGGGGTCCCTCCCGGGCACCAAGCACCAACCTGGATCAATCGCTGGACAGCACAGGTAGCAGGTGTACCAGCCTGGCCTGGCCGGGCCTTTATAGACTAGGGAGAGGGTGGGGCAGATTAATCTCCCTCCCCCTGGAGCCTGCCTCCCTGTGCCCACCCACCTTTTCCTCTTCCATCCCTCACTGGTGGGCGTGGGGGTCAGGTGGGTCACAGCCAAGTCCTTTAGCCTGAAGCCTCTTGCTGTTCATTACCCTCACCTCCAAATCTGACTGCTGGGGGACCTCAACCTGAGCCCCTTGCTCCCTCAGGGGACAGCCTTCACCCTCTCCCCTCCTGCTTAACACCCTTCTCCCAACGGGGTTGGGGGTGGGGTGGTCTTTCAGTAACTCTGTTACTCAGTAACTCAATTCATACTGTGTCCCCAGGCCACCTCTCCCATCCCCTCCCCCTTCTTAGCAAGCCTCTGCAGCTCAAACAACTCTTACACTCACATCTGTGGGGGGCACGCAGTCTGCCCCCACACTCCTACCCCTCATGCCTCCTCCATTCTCACTTTCAGACTAGCCCTTCAAGCCTCCATTTCCTTGCACTCTGGCAGCATCCCAGGCCTCTCCAGATGCTCCCTGGAGTCGTAACTTCACAGCCCCCCCTCTGCGTTTTGGGGATGGGTTTTTTCAGCCTGTCTAAACCCCACAAACTCATCTGCAAGGCTTCTAGTGTTGCCCCTCCATCTATTCCACCAGATCCCCCACCCTTTCATCGCCCCTGCCACTCTCCAAGCCTCCAGGGCCCCTGGAAACACTCCATCTGCTCTTCTTCACCCTCTCAGGCCCCAACTGGCACCAAGCCCCCACCCTTGCCACCCCTCCTAACAAACACTACATCTATTCCCCAGGGCTGGAGTCCAATGCTTCCTCCACTCTTCTTCAGCTGCCTTTGACCGCCAGTGACCCCTGGCAGCTCGGGGGAGGGTGGCCTCAGGCCCCAGACTCTAGGTTGGCTGGCCTTGTGCCCCCACAACCACATGTCAGCCTGGGGGCGAGGGGGAATGGTTGTGAAAGGGGCGCACAGAGCAGGCCCTGGCAGGATTGCAACACCCCTTTGGCCAGCTCAGCAGCTTCAAGGCCCTGACAGTCCCCAGCTGTCTTCCCAGACATCGACTCCTTTCCCCTCCTTTCCCCACCCCACAAAAATAGAACTACTTTGCTTTTCCAGTCTCATCCTCACCTCAACTATAGGGGTTTCCGTTTATAGACGGGGAAACTGAGGCAGAGCCAAGGAACGTTCAATGGCTAATTGTAGGGGAAGGGGCTGTTTGTTCCTCCCCTTCCCAGACTCTAGGCTGTCTCTCTGGATCCCTGCTGGAGTCAGCTTGCACCCCACGGCACCCCCTGCCAGCCTCTGTTTCCCAAAGCTCCTTGTCTAGCCCTTGTCCCACCTCTTAGACCTGACTGGGGCTGCAGTGAGGTTGGACATCCCTCTGCTCAGATGTCTTCATGCATGGTGAGAATTCAAATTCATCTTTCAAGTGGGAGACAGGGCTGACGCTTCCTCCCTTGTTGACACCTGGGGAAACTGAGGCTCCGCGAGGGCTCAGCCCCAGCTCCAGGGCACATAGTCAGTCAGCAGCAGCAGGTTTGGCTGGGACCAGGCCTTCTGACCTTCCCTTCCTCACTCAGCCCTGGCTGAGTCAAGAAGCAAAGACCCCCAGGAAGACACAAGTTCAAGCCCTGGCCTGTCCCGTAGTGGAAATTTGCTCCCCTCTGAGAACTGAGGGGGTGGGAGCGGAGAGCACCTGCGGCTCCATCCAGGGCTTCAACCTTTAACCCTCTGTCAACTCCCAACTCTCTCCCAGCCCCGAACTCCAGGGGCCTGTGCAGATCTTCACGGGTGTTTCCTCTTTATTCTCTCTCTAACCTGGGCCCAGCGCCCACACAGGAGAGAAGGAATGAGAATGAGGGTAGGGGATGGGGAAGCACAGCTCAGGGAGAAGGGACTTGCGTACCCAGAGGGAAGGAGAACGGCAGAGGGCTCAAGTGCAACAGAATAGCCGAGAGAACGAACCCTCATGGAGGAGGAAGGGAAAAAAACAAACAAGCTGGATCAGGGCAAGAGAAACCGGAGGGGGGAGAGATAAAAGATAGAGGTGGAAGAAAACAGGAAGTTAGAAAAATGAAGTGTCTCAGTGAGAGCAGGACAGACGGAGGCCAGGAGAGGGAAGGAGGCAGAATCAGCTAAGATTAGATGGAGAGAAGGGGAGAGAATGAGTGGGAAAAAATAAAGATGGCTTCAGAGTGGCAGTGGTCTCAGGTCTTTTGAGTCACAACAACTCTATGAAGCCGGGCAGACCGAGGTTCAGAGAGGTTGCTTTTGCCCACAGTAGTCAGGGGCAACTGCAGGATTTAACCCAGGGGTGGATTTTGTCCAGAACCACATCTCAGAGACGGAATGGAATGAGGCAGAGGGAGTGAGCGGCAGAGGAGGCAGCATATCTCAGAAAGGGACAGAAGGAAGACTGAGAGTTAAAGGAGGAGACACAAAGAAATAGACACACACACACATGGACAGAGGAGACAAGACTGAGAACTATGTGTGGGGAAGGAGAAACAGGCTGCAGCTGTGAGAAATCACACTCAGACGCCAAGCCCGTGCTGTGAAGTTTGCTGAATCTTTATTAAGCCAGGGCCTACCAGGGGGACAGCGGGGTCAGGGACAGGGCCTCCTGCAGGCTGGGGGAGGCAGTGGGCATAGGGTGGCAGGAGTGGGGCCCACCAGGTGGCATGCCTGGCACTCACTGGTTCTCACTGGGCATAGGAGTGGGGCTGGTGCCCACGGTGGACTGTATCTTCTCCATCAGCCCCGCCCACTGGCTCTGCATGTCTTCCACCAGGGGTTGGAACCAGCTCTTGAGGCGCTCCTGGAAGGCCTGGGCCTCTAGGCGTATCTGTATGGCTTGCTCCTCCACCTTGGCCTTCAACTCTTCCATCTGATCGCGCATGTCGTCTAGGCGGTCGCGGGCCCGGCTGCCCAACGATTCTAGCCGCTCACGCATCTGCTGGCCCCAGGCCTCAGCCCGCTCCTGCAGCGGCTGGCTGACAGTGATGGCCCGCAAGCGCCCCTGCTCCACTAGCGGCAGGAGGCGCTCACGGATGGTGCCCACCCCGCGCTGGGTGCTCTCGCGGGCCGCGGCTTGGTAGATGGCCAGGCGCTTCTGCAGGTCTTCCGCGTCGCGGAGCAGCCGCTTGCGCAGCTTGCGCAGGTGAGAGACCAGACGGCCCCGCAGGTCGTCGGCGCTCTGGCCCAGCACGGTCTGCGCCTCGCTGCGGTACTGTGCCAGGCGGTTGCGCACATCATCCATGTCAGACTCTAGCCGGGCCTGCGCCCCCTGCAGCTCCTTGGTCACCCGGTCCTTTGTCTCCTGGGCTAAGGGGCCCAGCTGCTCCTCCAGCTCCTTCCTGTAGGCCTTCACCTCTTTCATGGTCTCCTCCATCAGCATCCTGTGGGCCGGAAAACCGGAGGGAGTGAACATGTGTGGAGAGAGAGACAAAGGGAGAAAGATGGAATGGGGGAGGACAGAGAAACCCCAAAGAGGAAGAGGCCAAGAGAAAACAAAAGTGAAGAGTGTGAGCGACTCAGCTAGAATGATGGAGGGAGACAGAAAGGAACATGCCAGAGACAGGAAGAACTAAGAAAGAATCAGAGGTAAAGCTACGAGTTCAAAATGGAAAAAAGGAGTAAGAAATGAACAGAACCTCCCCCGCCCCAATAGCTGGTGACAGAAAGAAACCCAGACCAATGGAAGCTGAGGTTCCAGAAGGAACTGCCCACCAGGAGGGTCAGGGGCTACGGTGGGGACACTCACGTCAGTTCCTCAGTGACCCGGGCGCTGAGCAGCTCCTCCTGAACATTGTTAGACAGGGTCTGCACCCAGCGCAGGTAATCCCAGAAGCGGCCCAGTGCCTGCTCCCAGGGCTGGTTGGGCTGCCACTCGGTTGGCTCCTGTCTCAGCTTCACCTCTTCCTCCACATTGGCCTGGCATCCTGTGTGGAGCAAGATCACTGCCGTCAGGGTGCTCTGCCCCCTCCAGGCACACAGTAGGTGCTCCACAAATGCTTGTGCTGGTCTTCAGAACACTGGTGGGCAGGGAGGGGGTGGAATGACAGCCAGCCTGTTTCATTTCTTGACAAGCACCTACTGAGTGTCTCTGTGTGGTCTGCGCAGGGCCATGTGGGGGTGATGGAGAATAAAGATACAGCTGACACTTATGCGGTGCTCAGTGCCTGCCTGACAACAATGCATTAGAAACTGTTATAACTCCCATTTTAAGGAGAAACTGAGGCCCAGAGAGAGTAAAATAGCTGCTCAGAGCCAGTGAATGTCAGAAGAGGTCTCAGACCTGGGCCTCCTCTCAAGGGGAACAGAGACCAGAAGAAGGAACTCAGGAATGAAAGGGGGGCAGTGGGTAGAGGTGAGGGTGAAAGGGGGAGGGGCAGTAAACCTGAGCAAGCCCCGCCCCATACCTGCCAGGAGCGTAACCACCAACGCAGCCCACAGAGCCTTCATCTTTAGTGCAGGTCAGTCTAGGGAAGGGAGAAACTGTCAATCAACAGCCAGTGGGGACTCCTCCCACTCAGAGAACCCCACCCACCGGGTCCTGGCCTTCTAAGTCTCAACTAGCCCCAGATCTGCATCATCCTAATCCTATCACAAACATTTACGGAGCAGCCCCTCCATTGTCTATTTAACTTCTACATTGTCTTCTTCTGTCTCCTTATTCCAGGATGGCCGCCCCGCCAAAACTCCATCCCCCTCTCTTGGGGTTCAAAACCCACTCACCCTGCCCCCCAGTTCCATGTAAGCCCCAGTTGGGCTTTTTAAGTTCCAGCCTCACATTCCTCGTTCTATCTTCACATTCTAAGCTCCAATTTCACATTCAAGTGCCATCTTTCACATGTTAGCTAAATTAATCCTCATTTTAAAATCCTTCTTCAATCAACACTCTAGCTACCTTGCCACCACCCCTGAACCCCCAGTTAAGGCAATCTGAAGACGAAGGGGGCACCCAGTAGGTACTCAATAAATGAGTGACAATTTGTGGGCTCTTGATAAGCCTCATCTGGCTCTTCTACAGGCCCAGAAGTTTCCCCCACCCCACCTTCTAGCCGGATGCCCCTGTGGCCCACCACTCCCTTAAGTCTAATCCCCAGCCTCGGGCCTCATCCCCAGCTCATGCTTCTGTTCAGACCCGGGCGTAGGACAGTCACCTCCTCCATCTAGCCCAGGGGTCAGCAAACTGCAGCTCGTGAGCCACATGTGGCTCTTTGGGTACGTTCCGTCTCAAAAGTTTGCTGATCCCTGGAAGAGCCAACCCTGTCCCTCACAATTTAAAAATTATTCGAGAGCCATAAATATATTTTTACATAATCACCATTATGTGAATAGCCTTTGAAAATTTTAAAAATCAAACTATGATAGTTTTATTTTCAATTTTACTTCAGAGGCTCGCGAGCTGCAATTTGCTGACCCCTGGCAGCTCTTCTGTCTCAAAAGTTTGCCGACCCCTGATCTAGCCCATCCCCCACAGAAGCCCTGAGCTGGTCTCCGTGCCCCCAGTTCTGCTTCTCACCAGCTCCTGGGTAAGCACGTCCTTCGCCTCCCCTCTGGCTGAGTAGGACTCAGGAATCCCAGACTCCTCCAATTATAGGGCTCTCCCCCTGCCCCGCCCACTCCTCTAGGGCTAGGGCAAGCTGGCCAGCCCCCAGTCACGCGGTGGGCTGTTCTCCCCCTTCACACTGCAGGGAGGAGAAAAGAGGAGGGGCTTGGAGGCCCTGTGATGCCCCCAACCCCCATGAAGGGAGGTGACAGCTCATCCAGTAACTGGCACCCTCCTCTATTCTGGGGTGGGCGGGTGAGGGCTGGGCATAGAAGGGGAAGGAGCAAGCAGCCGCTGACAGCACCCCTTCCCTGCCCCTTCCCCTGTGGATGGGTCAATAATTTGAGGAGGGGACTGGGGGCCGAAATCCTGGGTCAGAGGAAGGAGGGGCTGGAGGCTTGGATATCTGGGTCTAAGGGAGAAGACTGCAGACCCATGAGATGGAAGACCGGTGGGAACAGAGTAATGCACCTACTAAATGCCTAGGCTTTGAGAGTGAAACCCGGCTCTTAATCCTAGCTCCTTCTTCGACTGTGACTTTAGGCACAGATGAGCGCCTCTCTGAGCCCGTCTGCATTTGTGAAATGAAAATCCAGCTCTTCTCCCTAGCACAAGCATTGTGGATTCCAGGAGCTGCCAGAATACCGTGCCTTCCACAGAGCTTGAAGCATTCATGCTGCCTGGTTAGGACTGGGGACTCTGGAACCAAACTGCTGGGGATCGAATCCAGGTTCTGTCAGTTGCCAGCTGTATGACCTTGGGCAAATGACCAAGCCTCTGAACATCCAGTTTCTTGGTCCAGAAAACCTGGGAAATAGCTGCATTTACATCATCATTCAGTGATGCAACAAGCTACAGTTAAGTCCTCACTTAACCTTGTTGATAATGATTCTCGGTACTTTTGCAAAATGTATAATGATGAAACCAATTTTACCAGGGGCTAATTGATAGAAACAAGAGTTAAGGTCCAATGGCATCTTGTTACAAGACGACGTTGAACAAAACATTGAGAACTTGGCTGTACCTCTATGTATGAAGTACTGAGAACATCTTTGGCACACAGTGGGTCCTATATTAGATCTAACTGCTGTGATTGGCCATGAGCATTCCAAGTCACCTCCCTCGCTGCCCTGTTACATGAATCCAGCTGTTTCACAGATGAGAAACTGCGGGTTCAGAGGTGGCAAGGCCACACAGGGAGAACAGGAGGAGCTGGGAATTGGATTCCATGGGGTCAGGGGAGGCTGAATGCCTGGTCCCAGGAAGGGGGGCCACAATGCTAGCCAGGCCTGTTTGCTTTGGCCTCAGAGGGCGCTAACAGGGAGCGGGTGTTGTGGTTCCTCCAGGTAATAAGGGGTCATCTCTGCCCGGCAGCCTCCCTCCCCATACGCTGTGTGTGGCAGACAGGGTTTCAGTTCCAGTCTGGAGGAGTCAGAGGTGTTTACCTGAGCCCTAGGTGGGCCGAACCGATCCCTCCTCCTCCTCCTGAGACACAGGTGATCCAGCCTCCAACCCTTCATCCAGACCAGTCAGAGGCTCCAGCCTCTTCCCCAAGCCCGGAGGTCCTAAGCCCAGGCGCTTCTCCCCCGTCAGGCACAGTCATTGATTCTGAAATCTTGCCGGGTGCTAGAATCCCTCATGAAACTTCTGGAAACTCACCTCCCAATCAGAAAGTTAAAACCCCATCATCCCTGCCCCTCTTGAAACTTCGAAAGCCCCTGGCATCCCAGCTCACTGTCCCTACCCCTGCATTCGGACAGTGCTATCCCTGTGGCTTCAGCTCCCAGGGACAAAGTCCCCTGCAGTCACTCTGGCCAGGCCAAGCCGACCCAGTGACCACAAGGCCACACCCTACCGATGAGGGAGCGCCTGTGATGTTCCAGGGAGGGCAGAAGTCACAAGGAGATTGTAAGACACTGGGCCAGCCCCTTCGTTCGGGTTACCAGGCAGCTACCAAGCCTGACTCCCGGCGGCGGCATCCTTCGCTCCAGCCCTCTGGCGCCCTCTACCGGCGACAGTGGGAAGGTCGGATTGGATGGAATGAGCGAGCAAAAAGGGACCACAAAAGGGAGGAAAACCAAGGCCTCCCATTTCTTTTTTTACACATGTATATTTTTTGTTGTTTTTTTCTTTTTTTTCTGTAAAATGTCCCAGTTCTTCCATAACTTATAAACATGATTTATACCGAGGGATGGAAGGGAAACAGGTTGGGGGCTGACCAGGGATGGGAAAGCTCCTCTTCTTGCTGCCCTCTTGGGGCAGGGACCGGGGCCCAGGGCCCTTTAGGGAGCCGGGGACGCCCCAACACCTCCCTGAGGTTGTGTGGCTGCCTCTGCCCCTGGTGCTCAGAATCCGGCGTGCCCCTCACTCTGGAACCCCTTCCAGGACCCAGGCCCCCTCGTGCTCTGAATCCTGAAGCGCCCGTGGTTCCAGAATCCCCCCTCAGCTGCTGGGGTGATGGGTTCCCTCATTTCCGCTGCCCTCCTGACCCCCAGGAGAGAGGGAAGGGAGGGGCAGGGGGGCTCAGGTTTCCCCTCCGTGGCAGGGGGAGGGAGAGTGGGATCTGAAGGTGGAAGGGCATGGGAGATGGGGGCCAGGCGGAGCTCAGCCGATGGTGAGGCCAAAGCCACACTGGAACTTGTTCTTCCGGTGATTCAGGAAGGCCCCGAGGGCCAGTGTCAGGGGCAAGGGGGGGAGCTTCTTCTCCAGCGTGGCGCCCACGATCCAGTTGCTGTCCACAGAGCCTGTGGGCAGACAGCTGTTGTGAGAACCATATGCCAGCTTCTCTCTGTCCCTTTGGAGTCACACTCCAGGCCACCTCAGACACCACCAGCCAGACTGCCAGCTTCCAGACCTCTGACCACGCTGTTCCCAGACACCCCTTCCCACACCCCAAGTGCTTCAGCCCTGGGAGCAACCCACTTATTCCTCAGTTCAGTGAGCCCTCCCCCCCAGGAAGCCCTCTGCCATCCCAAGTCCTGTCCACACTCGGTCCTCGTTCCCTGGGGATGAGTCTGTCCTTCCCAGTGAGTCCCATGAGGACAGGGCCTTATCGCCACTGTATCCCCAGTACTCTCAGCGCAAGGCTGGGCACAGAATGGAAGACTGAAGTCTCCTCTCGGGCTCGTTTATCAGAGCCTGACACGTGTGAATGGGGCTGGCCCCACGTGGGAGGGGTGCTCACTTACTTCATGGGAGTACAGCTGGAACCCCAACCCAGCCTCTGCCACCAAGCGGACTGGCTTCAGAAGCCAAGGAACCCCTGGGCCTCGTTACTGCCAGTAGAAGCCCTGCCTTAGGCCGAGTGAAGCTGCCTTTGGGCATGGTCTTCACACTCCCCAAACCTGAGAACTACTGAGGTCTGAGACAACTTAGGACTGGACATCAGGACGAGAGTCAGCCAGCCAGGGGCGAGGTTCGGGACCAGGTAGTGACTGTGTAACCTTTAGGAGCCTCAGTTTCCATTAATGTGAGATGAGAGGGTGTGCCGGATGTGCTAAGTTGCCTTCTACTTATGGGAAAAGAACAAAGATGGCCAAGTGCAGAGTGGGAGAGGGCTGCTGGCTGGGGAGGGAGATCATGTGGTAGGTGCAAAGCTCAGGGCCCAGGCCCCCACTTTCTTTTTTCTTTTTAGCTGAGCCATCCTGCCACCTGTTGGCAGCTCGCTCAGTGGCTGCTCAGCTCAGGCCGTGAATGGAACCAGCGACCCTGTTGCTCAGAGCTCGCACTCTTACACGAGCTCTTAACCAACTGAGCCACTCGGCCGGCCTGGCCCTCACTTTTTAACGAGTGTTCTTGGGTAATTTGGAGGCCCACAAAAATCCCAGCATGCTACCCTCCATCATCTCCTTTGGCGTATACCCACTTAGAGCTGAGTTGACTCTCGCCTGTTTTCCAGGTGGGAAAACTGAGGCTTGTACCTTTGAAGAGGAGGTTGGCCTTGGGCAGGTCCAGCTGGTACCCGAAGGAGACACTCGTGTCCTGCATCCTTGTGCTGGCCTCAAACTCCACGCCCACCTGCAGCTGGAAGGGGCCAGGGCAACAGAGTCAGCTTCCCAGGCTGGACTCCCGGGGATACACGCCCACGTGGAAGTGTGCCCTTATAGCCGGTACCTGGACTAGCTTACCTGGTTACTGGCTTTGTGGTAGTACGTCGCGTGCATGCCCGCCTGACCCAAGGTTACCGTCGCCAACCAGTTGTTCACTGTAGGACAGCAGGATGGGGGGTGGAGTAGGTTACCAAGCAGACTTGGGAACCCAGGCCGTGCCTCCCTCAGACCCAGGAGTTTAGTCCCCAACCCCTCCTCCCTCAGACCCCAGGCTCACATGTGTATTTCCCAGCTAGAGACATGACAGTGCCCTCCTCCCCGGGCCGCCGGTGGTAGACCAGCTCTCCGCCCAGGGCCAGACATGGCGTGATACTCTGGAGGTAGTGGGCCACGAGGATTCCTGCGGGTGAGATGGTGGGGCATTACCTGGGCTTTGTGGTTGTCAGTTTCCGCCTGGCCCCAGTGCTAGGCCAGACTCCTGCTCTAGGCAGCCCTGCTGAAGGCTCGGGCCTGTCCTCTGGCTTCCCACACCTGCTTCTGGATCGGTTCACAGGGCTCAGAGGCCAGCCTTGGAGGCCCCAAGGGACCTCATCTGGTCTGCACAACCCGGGGCAGTTGGCATTCACTTGCCACCGTTTACAGAGGCGGCTGAGGGACTTAATTAAGTCACTCGCCCATGGTCACAAAATGTGTGAACCACTCTGCTGCTGGGAGAGCACACCTGCCGGGGGCTAGAAGGCCTGGGTTCAAATTCTAGCCCTGCCACTTGGCCAGAATCATCTACTCATTCAATTGAGGGGGAAACTGAGGTTCACAGAGAAAAGTGACTGTTTATAGTCACACAGGGACTTCAACTCACTGGCCTCTCAGCTCTGCCAACTGTTGGGACTGAGGGCTGTGACCATCCCTCCCTCCTGCCCCAGCCCCACCCTCCTCTCTGGTCTCCTGGTGGAGCCTCAACCTCTCCCAGCAACTTCACGTGCAGCAGAC